AAGGGAAGAATTTAATCAACAACAAACAAGTTCGGGCGAATTAGAAGTAATAATACAAACTTTGAAACAATTACAATCTGATATAATGCCTCTCAAAAACTTGCCAGAGAAATTCGAAAATTTAGAACAACGCGTAAACGAGCCTCCTCTGTCACCATCACTCTTCCTTGACGCGACTCACACACCGGCGACTGCACCGCAAACAAATTTAAAAATCAAAGACGTGTTACCGAATATACCGAATTATGACGGATATAAAATATCAGTGTTTCAATTCGCGCAAGCATGTGAACGAGCACGGGATTTGCTACCTTCTTCACAAGAACCCCAGTTAGTACAACTTATAATTAATAAATTAGAAGGCGACGCATATCGAATCGTAGAAGGAAATTATTATGATACTGTAACTGGCCTTCTAGACAAATTGAAAACAATCTTAGCCCCTGATAAAACAGCCTCTCAGTATTGAGGAGAATTAGCAAATATATACAAGTCTCCGAATGAAACTGTTTTAAAATATGCTGGACGAATTAAAGATTTAAAAGCCGCAATATTAGATCGTTACCGAAGGGAAAGAGGTGGCGTAGATAAAGCTTTTATAGATGAAATTGACAGAGAAGTGCTAGAAGCATTTGTAAATGGATTACCATCTGATCTAATAACGCGAATAGAGCATCGCCCTATTAACAATATTGATCAAGCTATTGAGTGGGCTGTAAAATTATCTCATACCCTAGAAGTCGAAAAAGCCCGCGAAAAAAGGCACATTCCTCGTGATCCGGTAGAACGCAGACCACTGCGAGCTGATTTTTACAACTCTCAATCCGGCCCTGGAAGAATAAATCACCCGACACAAATACCGACTAGATCTTTTGACGCTCCTCGTCCTTTTATCAGACCGCTTATCCCAGGAATGCATGGACCTAATTCACCAAGTATATGTCGATATTGTAAATTTCCGGGTCATGATATATCGGCATGCAAAAAATTAGCTTACAAAAATGCGCAACAAAACTCGGGAAACGACCCGGGCAACCCGGCCACCCAGGGCGCGAGCCAGGGTACCGCCCAGAATATTACGCGCCCCGCACTAATATCCTCCCAACTAGAGTCGTCACGCGAGAAGAAAATAACAATACAGGAATAAATTCGGAAGCTCGAACCGTTACAATTATGAATATTGAATCTTTTGCCACATTACCGAGTGTAATTTTGAGTGCAGAACAATTAACAAAAAATTGTAACTTTATGATCGACACGGGTTCCTCAGTGAATATCGTAAAATTAAGTGCATTGAAAGATCCCGATATAAATAACCAAGATACCCTGACACTACGTGGAATATCTCAAATACCTATCGAAACAAAGGGGTCTACTGAACTAAAAATTTTAAATCGAACAGCAAAATTCCAGGTAGTCAGTGACGAAATAACTTTTCCGCAAGACGCAATTCTTGGATCCGAATTTCTGAAAAAATATAACGCCATAATAGATTACGAAGCTGAAGTTTTGAAAATAGAAAACCTAAGTATCCCATTTTTCAAGAACGAAGCTGTGACTATCCCAGCACGAAGTGTTCAGGCAATTGCTTTTATTATTACTAATCCTGAAGTGCAAGAAGGATACGTACCATTGTTAGACTCTGTTAAGGGCACATATGCTGGAGAAACATTAGTTACTAATTTCAAGGGCAAGGGACATTTACTATTTTATAATACTACGTCGAATGAAGTCTCATTTACTATTCCTCCCATGCCTCTTGTTCCCTTTTTTTCTCTGAATCAGGGAAAAGATACCATGATTAATCATGATAAATATAAATATATCGAAACTTTTTATACGGAGCCTGTTAATGAGGACGAACGTATCCGCTGTATCAAAGAAATGGTAAATACAGATAGTTTGAATCAAGAAGAGGAAGAGCATGTTAACGCTATATTAAAGGAAAACTCTGATCGATTCTATATACCGGGTGACCTTTTAGGACATACTAATGCTACAACTCATACTATTCCGACAACTGACGAATTACCAGTACACGTTAAACAATACCGATATCCTCCTGTACACAAACAAGAGATAGATAGGCAGATCGAAAACTTGTTAACACAAGATATTATCCAGAATTCTACATCTCCTTATAACTCTCCCCTTTGGATCGTCCCAAAAAAATCAGATTCTCAGGGACAAAAACGTTGGAGGATGGTAATTGATTACAGAGCGTTAAACGAAAAAACCATAGGTGACGCGTATCCGTTACCGAATATAGAAGAAATTTTAGATCAACTTGGTAGTGCAAAATACTTTTCCGTGTTTGATTTAGCCCAAGGTTTTCATCAAATTCAAATGGCTACTGCAGACGCACATAAAACAGCATTTTCTACACCTTATGGGCACTATGAATATAAAAGAATGCCCTTTGGGTTGAAAAACGCGCCTGCTACATTTCAGCGTCTGATGAATAATGTTTTAACGGGCTTGCAAGGGAATGAATTATTTGTGTACTTAGATGATATCGTGATTTACGCCGAATCTCTTGAAGAACATAAAATAAAAATCAATCGACTAATGAAGAGACTCCGCGACGCGAATTTACAGCTGCAACCTGACAAATGTCAATTCCTGAGACATGAAGTTCGGTATCTTGGGCATGTAATTAGTAAAGACGGAGTACAACCTGATCCAGACAAAATAAAATCAATAGAGACCTTCCCAATACCGCGTAACCAGAAAAACGTCAAGCAATTTCTTGGTCTAGCTGGTTACTACAGGAGGTTCATACCAAACTTTTCTAAAATAGCTAAGCCACTCTCGGACTTGCTGAAGAAGAATAAGGAATTTTTATGGAAAGAAGTCCAAAATCAATCATTTACTACCTTGTGCAATGCCCTCTGTAATAAACCTATTTTACAATATCCTAATTTCAAAAAACCATTTATCTTAACTACAGATGCGTCCGGATACGCAATCGGTGGTGTTTTAAGTCAGGGAGCTCTCGGAAAAGATTTACCTATTGCTTACGCTTCAAGGACATTGACTGACGCAGAAAAGAAATATTCAACTATAGAGAAAGAGTGTCTTTCCATAGTATATTGTATCTCCCATTTTAGGCAATACCTTTACGGAAGGAAATTTACCATTGTAACTGACCATCAGCCCCTAGTGTGGTTGCATTCTATCAAGGATCCCAGTTCACGGCTTTGGAAATGGCGTCTCAAACTTTCCGAGTATGATTATAACATAACTTACAAACCTGGCAAAATTAACAATAACGCCGACGCCTTATCCAGAAACCCGCCTGATGTACCTACTTTCCCTTTAATTCCCGAAGCCGATAAATTCTTTTCCGCACATAAAACAACAACTCGACAAGCAGGAAATAATCCACAATCTCAATCATCCTTACCTACATCTTTAATGGACATTGATACTGCAAACGCCTTACCAAATCCACTTATA